GCGATCGAGGCAGTGTTGATTTGGGCGAAACAAGCGAAGCTTCGGAGTGGAATTAAGTGAATTAGTGTGTTTAAATTATTAGTGTTTTAACTTTAATTGTGTAAAGTAAATTAAAGTGTTAATTTAGGTAATTTTATCGGCAATTTTTATTGTCACGAACCTCAAGCTCGTAACAATATTTATCATTATTTAGCGATCTGCCCCGGCATCGCACGGGTGAATTCTGGATCTTGACAACAGCGCCATCTACCGGATCCAAATGTGAATTTAAGCCATCTAGGGATCCATTCAATCACACACAAAACAAATCATCAAAATGTGTCAAGCCGTATTTGAGTTTTAGCGAGACTAACGGGCGCAATTGATTTTTATATATAGAGATTAACACGTTGTCTTATAGTCACATCACAGCAGGGGTACAATGCTCCGGTGAGGAGTAGTAGACGGTTCCATGGGGCAGCCGGCGCTGGTGGACCCGCGGATATGTACGAAAGTGTTCCCGTGGCCTTTTCAATAAGCGACGACGGGTTTTTCACCATGGGGTTTAAGTCGGTGCGAGTCTGTAAGTCCGACATAACCCGTCCTTGCCCCCCGCGAGGTTGTTTGTATACGTAGGCATTTCCCCATGTTAAAAAACTGTTCCAATACTCGACGAAAAATATATGTACTTAATGTTATCTGGCGTGATACAAATGTACCGAAATCATTTTGAGGTAAAAAGATATATTCTTCGAAATTGACTGACCTAGTAAATAATTATTCGCTTATATGGCGTGCAGATGCCATATAGGCGAATAATTATTTACAAATTGAAAAGCTTGATGATTTTTTCATGGATTCCATCACGAGATATTGCCCAAATAAAAAAGAATCGTTGAAAATGGACAATGTGCTAAACAACTATTTCTAAACTATACTTTTTTTATATATATATATATAAAAAAATCCATCGTTTTTGTATTTGGTTAAAAGGAAATATCTAGAAATTAAATTAATTTTTTATAGGAGAGGGGTGACAAACGAGCACAAAGTCCACGTGATGGTAAGTGGTTGCTGTGGCCCATAGACATCTACATCTATCTTCGATTACGAATAAAAATGCAGATGCGTTGTCACCCGTGAGGACTAAGATGGAATGCCTCGGTTCTCTACATTCACCTTACGAAACACAGCAGCGTTAAGCTGCTTTTTTACGCTGGCTGGTATTCTATGAGAGCATAGTCCTTCCCTGGTCGAGCCGACCCATTCGTGCTGCAATAATACTACTAATATAACTCGAGTATGGCTCTACCATATAAAATTCATTAAAGCCCAAAGTTATATAAAAATAAGGAAGAATTTCCTAACAAGTTTCTAAAGAAGTTAATTGCATGAAAGAAAGAGACAATATAGTAATTAGTGTGAAGATACAAAATAATGCAGTTGCGTTGATTGATTGTCGTCACACTACATTGTCTGTAGTATTTGCTTACTACTTTGTAGCTCAGCTGGTAGCTTGGGGGTTAATGACCACATACACACATGATTTATTTTGCACATCTATGGCGCATTAACTTTCGCATTAAAGTTTCATTCCTTACTTTTAAAATAAATCCTTTTAAATAAACGAACTGCTGGAATAAAAAGAGTCCACCACGTAGATTTAAAGCGTGTTGCTTGTTCACATGTCCTCCAAAGTACAAATATATATATATATATATATATATATATATATATATATATATATATATATATATATATATTCTCAGATATGTTATATTTTTCCGCCGAGTATGTGGTAAATCAACATTTATTTCAATAAACATTGTCATAGGTGCCGGCGGCGATCGAATTCGAATTGCTCGCATAAGTGGTATTTTAAGTACTTATTCCTTGAGCTAACACGAAGATATCAGATGTCTTTGAAATATTTTATAGCTTAATTTCATGTGTTAGAAGAAGCTTTATAACACATGAGTGTCTCAACTGCCGTCCAAGTAGAGTGCCAGCGTTATACCAGCGTAAATTAGCAGCTTAATTGTGCTGTGTTTAGTATGGTGAGCTTAGAGAACCGGAGACCGCTTTTACTGGAAACCAGGCATTCTAGCTTAATCCTGAAGGGTGACAAAGCATCTGCATTTTAATATTTTATCGAGAATGGATGGAGATGTCCAAAAGCCAAAACATCCACTCACCATTAGGTAGACTGTTTGTGCTCATTTGCCACTATTATTCTATAAAAAAGCACGAACCCACACAATAAAATAAGATGACCATACATAAAACGCTTTAATTAATCAAATGGTCGCAATGTAAGTACACATTAAAACATATAAATCTAATTAAAGAAAGGAAAAACACCGAGACAATACTCCGAGTTGTGCAGGACATATTGCCTCTAATAGCTTTAATGGAAATAAACTAAGTGGCAGATTAGCACCCATTCACACGAGTGCGAGGGCGGTAACAAAAATGTCTCGTTTTTATTTTATAAAAGTGGAGTGACAAATGGTTTTACAGCCCACCTGATAGTTAGTGGCTAATGCAGCGATCGAGTTCTGAAACCAACCTCAAAACTAAATCTGATGATTAAGACAGTATACCTCACATCCTAATTATACTAGCTCTATCCCCCACACCTCCAATTCTGCGCAGCTTGGAAACAGTGCACTGTTGTTTGATAAACTTTTAGATCCTGGGATTAATTTTTTCAATTTCAACCCGTTGCAAATCAATATCTCATCTTAACAAACAAGCACATAGTCCACCTGCTGGTAAGTGGTTGCTGTGGCCCAAAGACATTTATGACGAATACTAATCAAGTTGCAAGATGCTCTACCACGTTTAATATATCGTCTTCAAGTCATCATGTATGGGTATCATAATGAAATGGAATATAAAATAATAAAATATTAACAAAGTGCTTTATACATTTAATTGTCAAATTTCCTTAAAAATGTGATGCTGTATGCTGTGTATTATAATTCAGAAGATATTTGCTTTTGTAATTCTATATTTAAAACAGCGTAAGTGTTTATAATAACTAGGTACCACGCTCGCGTTTGTGTGAACAGACTCTTATACTTCTCAAACATACACAGCTGTACTGTCTAGTTCGTTTATAGAAAAAAAATGTCTTTATTGTTCAAGTGTCAATGACAATATAATTTTAAAAGATGTTAAAGGCTAAAGGCTCACGAACTGAATGTTGCAAATGAATTGGCATATGTTTCTTGCGAGTACAGAAGTCTTCATCAAAGGTAGAGGTAAATTTACAACCTATTTACGTTTCAATGCTGAACTCTGGCCTCCACTTGCCTAGAGGATAATGGAGAAAGAAAGAAGTAACTATTTATTTGATAAACACATTTAAAACAAAGAAATACTACTCTGTCATGTAGTACCAGGAAAATATCAATAATACACAAAACTTTAGTTACTGATCCAGGTTTATTGTATCAACTTCAAAGTATGCTCCTTCAGAAACTATACACTTTCTCTAACTCATCCAATCATAAAAATATTTTTAAACGCTTTTTCCGGAATTGAGTTCAGTTCTCGATGCGAATTCTTCTTTATATTATCTTCTACCGAATGAAAACGGGTGCCACGAAGGGTTAATTTGAGTTTAGGAAAAAGAAAGAAGTCGGCTGGAGCCATGTCTGGTGAATAAGGTGGTTGCTCGATGGTATTTGTTGAGTTTTTGGTCAAAAATTCGTTCACAATGATGGTTTTGTATTAAGGTGCACTAACGTGGTGCTAAATACAAGAATTTTCTTTCCACATATTTGGCCTTATTGGTCTAATCTGCCCTCTTAAACGCCGTATAACGCTCAAAATAATATTCTTTATTTACCGTTTGAACTCCCGGCAAGAATTCCGAGTGCATAACACTGCTATAGTCAAAGAAAACAGTCAACATGACTTAGACTTTTGGTCGACTTCGGCGTGATTTTTTCGGTTTCGGTTCATCAATATTGGGTAGGAATTTACTCGTTCTAGCATGTCCTCAGCGACTCTTGTGCGACAAAGTTTTTGGATAAAATACGGCAAAATGTTTCATACACAACTGATTATTTAAAATGGTACGGATCGACTCGGAGACACAGAAAGTTCGGCGGCTATCTCTATCAAACTTGAATGAGGATTTTCAGTCACTATTTTCTTCACTTTAACGATGTTAACTTCAGTTGCAGACGTTGACGGTCTACCATAGCGAGGCAAATCTTCATCACATCTCGACCGCTTTTGGAAGCTTTGTACCACATATAAGCACAAGTTTTTTATAAAATCGATTCACCGTAAGCCTTCTGTAACATTTTTAGTGACTCCGAACACGAAATTCGATTAAGATAAACTGTTTGTTTTGCTGTTTTTGTCCATTGTGAAATTCGCAATACACACTAGATATGATATAACTAAAACCGCACTGTATTTAATTTAAATAACAGATGTAACTCAAACTCCGCGCCAAAATGGAAAACAGTTCTGCCAAACTAACAACAAACGAAAAACAAATAAAATATTTGGAACTACAAAAACTGATTGTATACAATTACTGAATGTATACAAACGCAAAAGGCACACATGTGCACGCATCAGATATATACTGTTTACGCATTAACAGATTAGCTACTACGGTAAATGATGGTAAATGGTTATAGGGTCCATAAACATTTTAATTCATAATCAATAAGAATCAAAATTCAGATGCGTTGTCACACATGAGGACTAAGATGGCAAGCCTTGTTTCCAGCCAAGTCACATTCACCATACGAAACACAGCAGCATTAAGCTTCTATTTCACGCTGGTATTCTGTGAGATCGTGGTCTTTCCCCGCTCGAGCCGACCCATTCGTACTACAACCATAATGTAGCTGCAGCACGACTCTAACACGTCAAAAGTCTTCGTGGTCCAGGACTGTGTTGTGGCATCACTTGCGAGAGACTTTACTTCAGCAGTCGTCTTGTGATAGGCTCTAATTATGATAGCGATGATGATGATGATAAATAATACTTACAAACACACCGATAGAAATTTAAGAACACCTAATGTAATCCAGTCATAAGATAAGCTGCAGATGCTGGACAATATGAAACCAAACGTCAGTGACAGCAGTAGCGTGAATCTGCGGCCCTTGGTGTCTGAGACGTAGCCCCAGATATAGGAGACTAAGAGAATACCTGCAAGCAATGAAACCCCTTTAGAGTTTTATACTAAACGGTAAACCTAAGGTTTTATTAAATTAAGAGTAGTAAACGAGCAGACAATCTACCACTAAGCGAATGCTGTGGCCCATAAATACTATTTCTATTTAACATAAACTGAAACATACTGATACCTGGGTATATCACAAAATATAGGTGTTGATGAGGCGAACATGAAACAATCAGTTTGCGATCTGTTTTATGCACGCTAGACTAAAGTGCTTAACAGCCAATTGTCGGGCGTGAATAGGACACACGCATATAACGGTTGGGTCGCGTCTGTCCTCATATATATTTTTGGCATACTCAGTTGGGCTCAAACTGAACTTAACGCCCTAGATAGAAAAGTCCGCACTACCATGACGTCCCATAGTGTGTACCATCCGAGATAATCGGTAATGAGGTTGTACTTGCCGCGGAAGCATGGTGGGCGGGGCTTTTTAAGCGCGCTCACCATGCATACGCGAAGTATGCAGCAATTACTTCCTGACGAGATCGGATGATTACTTTTGCAGGGACGTCATTTCGTGTGATAAAATGCTAACATCTCTATCCTTAGCCAACGAGCAATGGTTAGAATCAGCACCCAGCAGTACAGTGTATTTCCGACCGGGAGACCGTATGGCAGAAAAAGGAGCTTCACGGGATGTTCTACAAAGCTCTTCTAGACAGTGCTTCTACAAGGCCTATCGTAGACACAGTTGCCTTCCTCAACCGGATACGTTTTGGTGACCTCTTCGGGGAATCGAGGGTTTTGGCTGTGCAATACAGGATCAGGTTATTAAGGCCAACAACTATCGGAGATACATCCTAAAGGATGGCACCGTCGACGTCTGTCGAGCTTGTCGCCATCCCGGTGAGTTACTAAGGCATGACATCTCTAGTTGTTCGGCACTTTCTAACTCTAAGTTCTTGCACAGGCTCAACGTGGTAGCCAGGATTCTACACCAGGAGCTCGCTTTGAAATACGATCTCGTTATTATAAGTATTTGCCGGAAGCTATGCTCTAAAATGACTGCGTCAGGCTCTACTGGGACCGGGTCATCATCACAGACAGGACTATTCTTGCGAATAGGCCTTTTACTGTGCTGATGGACCGGGCACAGTTAAAGATATTTGTTTTATTTTATTTTATTTTATTTTATTTGGAACACCAACAGCATATAAACGTTACATGAATACAAATTGGTCATTTCGACAAAGCCATTTACAGGTATTCGCATATGGTTATTTAAATGTAAAGAGGCCATGACAACAGTAACAATAAACAAGTAAATCCCCGAAGTTGAGGAGTGTTTTTAAAATTTGAGAGTATTTAAGAATTTGTTGCACCCACGGCGCGGGGGCCAAAGAACTCCAACGCAAACAATCTACTTACATTATGAGGCTTGGTACGGAATAGTTCTAATTCGCCGTTATTTATTGACAATTTGTTAAAAAAGTTACTCGCACGAATAATAAATGAATTGCGGCGGTAGTTAGTATTGACTCTAGGAATAGCCAGTGACTGAGTACGTCTAGTTGGTAATCTACGCGGAACCCAGATGCTTACCTTTTCCAGCAAAGCAGGGCAATCAATGATGCCTCCGACAATTTTTAATAGATACGTAATATCGAAGAGTTGCCGTCTTTTTTCTAAAGGTAATAAGTGGTATCTATTGCATCTCGTTTCATAACCATGGTCCAATTGCTTACACTTGTATTGTAGATATCTCAAGAACCTTTTTTGTATGGACTCAATACGGGAAGTATACACGTTATATTGTGGATTCCAGACCACAGAGGCATACTCAAGGATACTGCGCACATAAGCACAATAAAGTACTTTAATCGGTTTAATAGATTTAAATTCATATGTAGACCTTATAATGAAACCAAGAGATTTGGAGGCCTTTTTCACTACGTAATCAATGTGCTTATCAAATAAGAGTTTAGAATCTTGAATGAGACCCAGGTCTTTCATAGATGTAACTTTGTTAAGTGACTTATTATTGATTTTATATTGATAATTTATAGGGTTAAATTTACGAGAAAAGGTCATAGCAAAACACTTGGAAACATTCAAATCAAGCTTATTTTGAGTACAGTATTGCACAAAATTATTCAGATCGGACTGAAGGCGATCACAGTCACCAGAGCTGTTAGTGGCCATAAAGATCTTAGTGTCGTCTGCGTATAATAAGACTCTGGCATGTTTGAAACATAACGCAATGTCGTTTATGAATATAACAAAAAGCAAAGGCCCTAATAAAGAGCCTTGAGGTACGCCAGAAGGAATTGTTATCCACGCAGAAGTAAAACCATTTAATGCAACCGCCTGGGATCTATTACTGATGTAAGAAGAAAACCATCTAAATAAATTACCATGTATACCGGCTTTGTACAATTTCTCAAGGAGCAGTAAGTGATCTATACGATCAAAAGCTTTACTAAAATCAGTAAAAATACAATCGACCTGTAGCCCTGAATCCATTTGTGAAGAGGTGTATTCATTAAAAACTAAAAGGTTTGATACAGTCGACCTCTGCCTTAAAAAGCCATGTTGTTCAGGAGTAAAAGAAGACTGCAGTGTAGCATATATCTGTCGGTAGACAACTTTCTCAAATATTTTGGCAAATATACACAACTTAGATATAGGCCTATAATTTTTTACATTAGAACGGTCACCGCTTTTATGGACGGGCGTTACAAATGCTGATTTCCAGGTCATTGGCACTATACCTTCTTTTAAAGAACGCTTGAAAATAATACATAGAGGCGTAACCAAGCTATCTACGCACTGCCTTATAAAAAAAGGTGTTATACTATCAGGCCCAGCGCCTTTATTCATGTTAGTAGTTTTCAGCAATATTTCAACCTCCTTCGGATTTATATTTATGTCACCAATACTAAAATTATCTTGGCACTGATTATCAAGATTAGGTGTACGGCTATTAGCTTCGGGAACGAGAAAAGTTGATTGAAAGTATTCTGAAAATAAATTACACACCGATTGTCCAGTATCACCAGACTGGTCCTCGTATGTCATAACAGATGGTAGTGCCTGGGAGGGCCCTTTCAGCGACTTTGTGTAAGACCAAAAAAGACGTGGGTTATTTACTACCGAGTTTTCTACTTTACTTATGTATGACTGATAACACTCACTTTCTAATTTTATGGCTCTTTCTCTCAGAAATGAGTATGTTTCGTAATCGTACCGGTTACCATATTTTTTATATTTTTTAAAATATTTGAATTTTTCTTTTAAAACCTTTTTTAAGGCGGCGTTGTACCAAATAGGAAATGAGCTACTACAGATAATTTTGTGAGGTATAAATTCGTCACGAAGATCGGTCAGAATACGATAAAAATTATGAACACTGTCGTCAATAGAACCGCTCGATAACAAGACATTCCAATCTGTTTTCGACAAGTTGGAATTAATTTCTACATAATTTCCTTCTTTGTAATTGAAAACGGTTCTCTTATTGACAGTCAGAAAACTAGGTATGTCTAAATTTAATTCGATGCAAATTGATCTATGGTGTAAATCCTCCGAGACAAGGGGGTGGTCACTAGGTAGTACATTTACATGGTTATTGCAAAAGACAAGATCCAGTAGCCTATCGTTGCTATTTCGTATGTTATTGTATTGGTTGAGATTACATTCATTAATTATGTCCAAAAAATTTACCTGACTTTCGTTTAAAACTCCTATTGGCCCTAATTGACCGCTTTCCATTAAGACCCAGCTGATATTTGGCATATTAAAATCTCCCAAGACCATAAACAGGTCGTTGGGTGCAGAGTGAAAGTTATCCCCAAGCTTACTCGCAAAGTTATCGAGTTGTGTATTCATTGAATAGCCGCCTCCCTCCTTACATAAATAAATAGTGCAAATGTGTAATGCGAGAAGGCCGGCTTTGGTGCGGAGTGTCACGGAGACCCAAATATCTTCGGCGGAGGAGTACCAAGCCGGGCGACCGGTGGCGGCGAGCTCGCGGCGCACGGCCACCAGCACGCCGCCGCCGTACCGCTGCCCGGTAAAGCGGTAGTCGCGGTCACGCCGCCACACTATATACCGTTCATCAAAAAGTTCACTATCACTAATGCCATCTAATAGCCAAGTCTCCGTTATTGATATGATATCAAAGCTGCTTAAGGCCACATTTCTCTTAAATAAGCTTGTTTTAGTGCGTAGTCCCCGAGCATTTTGATAAAAAATATTAATAGCGAATTTTAGAGTACACAATCGTTACATTATATATAAAATTGGTTCTGATTTTGGTCTGGAATTCACAACAATCACCACTGCAAAGCGACATTGTTTTGCGAAAGCGAGTTGCAAGTAGAGCAATCAACAAAACGACGGCAAAAGCAAAGTTAAATAAGCGAGAACGGTAGTATCTCGTAGATATCGACAACACGCAAACATTGAGTAACATTTTAAAAGCAAAATATGAGGTAAAAATAATATGTTCCACCAGTACATGCGGGGTGCAGAGAAATTCTACCTCTAAGTACATGCAGTTACGATAGCTATTAACAGAAGTGCCATCACTAATGACCGCCGCGTACAGGTAGTGAGTAATAGCGATAAGCAATACAAAAGAGTCAGGGCTTCCCGCGTCCCGGGCGCAACAATCACAATATTTACGCGAGTTGAAATAGTATAATCTTGAGCAATATGTCGTACAAGCATTTAGTAAATTGAAATATACACACTTTATGAATTTTATGAAAATTTTAGAAGATCTTTTTCTGATTTTATGCGGAACGTCGGTGATGTGTCGGATTTTCGGGCCAGAATCTTGCAATGTTTTATCCACACATATTTGAAGTTTTTTGTTTTCGCCAGATCCTTCGCCTTCTTAAGAAGAGCTTTATTAAATAGCGTGAGATGGTCGTTGACGTAAACATGGCCTTCATCGGCGTATCCCAGTTGGGAAACTTTGAGTTCCTTATGTTTACGCGCAGCTGCTACAAACTCTTCCTTGCAGTAACGATTGTTGAGCGCCATGATTATGGACTTTTGAGAGTCTGCTTTGAGGCTGGGAACTCGGGCAATATAATTGATGTCTTCTTTACGTATAGAGCACTGGATAACTTTACTGATATTATCCACAATATCGTATAAGTTCTCGGACTTTTTCACTGGAATCCCTTTTATTTCCACATTATTGGCCCGCGCCCATTGTTCCTTATCCTGTAGATCTTCTTTGAACTTTTTAAGGTCAGCTCCCAAAATGTGGATCAAATTGGTGTGTTCCTCAACTTGCGAAATTCTGGATTCCAGGGACTTCACCGTCACCGACAACTGGCTTGCAGTTTGGTGAGCAAATTCAACTGAGCTCTTAAGATTCGATATTTCAAGCTTAATGGTCTTTACATCTTCAATAAGTGACGCCAAGGGTACAAGTTGCTGCGTAATATTCACTAGGGTAGCCTGCATTTCTTCCAATCGCACTGCTATCCCAGGATTATTATAAGATGTTGATGCAGGAGGCTGGGCATTTTTGCAGTCAATACAGCGCCAGGTGGATCTTCTTTCCCCAAGTTTACGAAAATTGGTCTCTGTAATACCAGCACAGGCGAAGTCAAACTGGCGTTTACATAAATTACATAAAGGTCCATCAGACACTTTATTCCCACAACGTGTACAAGAGAACATTTCCGCTTTAGATTATTAAACTTAGTAAAGCGGCCCCAGAGTTGACTGTCACTGGCGTAGGATTTACTGGTAAACAATCGAGCGCGTGCACTTTTACCGCGTTCCGACGAGCGCGTATACCCTTTACCGCGTTCTGACGATGACTGTGGTCGACATTACCATTCTGTATGACGAGAATCTCGTGAAAGCCGAATCAGATAAGCATACAAAACATCTGGACCTGGCTCACGAGGTGACTGACATGTGGGGTGGTCTGACGACCGAAATTATTCCTGTAGTCGTTTCTGCGAACGGGCTAATCCCGGTCAGCCTCTCGGGTCATCTGAGGCGGCTGGGATTCCGTAACGGCTCCTATCCAGAAGGCGGTGCTCCTCGATGCCACTCGCACCATCCTCTAGTTTCTTTCGCTTTTCCCTTAACCCTCGGCCGTTGAGTCTCCCCAGACGAGGGCTTCCATCTGGTTGGGCTTTTATTTATTTATGTTAATATATTAACTATATTTTTATGTTTATCTATCATCCCCTTTAATATATTTGTTCAGCCAACTAGATGAGAATTTATTAAACTCTCAGTTTCACAAATTTCACAAACGTATTACATCTGTTTTAAACCTTTCGCTGTGTACTACATATAGTTCAATGCTATTGTCTTCCTATTGTGTCTGCACACTGAACAGTGAAAGTGTTTACAAAGTTACATTTCAAAGAAGTTAGCGTTAACGGCCATACTAGTATAAACTGTATTACAACCGTACAGTCTCCCATCCTGAGTTGTGCAAAACAAATAAAACAAGCATATAATTTCACTATACAGTTCATAAACACGTAAAAATAAACGTATATGAAATTTTTTTTATTAATTATTTTATAGTTAAATAGCGTTGTCAGGCGTCCGGATGACACAGTCAGGCTTTTTGGTTGCGTGTCCGGCCAAATTAGACGGTGTCCGGCCCGTCTGGGTTTTGTTAGGCTTTTTAAAGGAGACAATCGTTTTTGGGCCAACTAGATATTTTAACGTAACTTAACTCATAAAAAAGATACCAATTTACTATAGTAAATTGGCTAAAGATTTTATGAAAATCTAACCGGTATGATGATAAATAATACAATTAAGAATCCAATAGGTCCATATAAATCACCGCAGTCTGTTTATTCGTGAACTGTTTTCTCCGGAACTAAAATATTCTTAATAAAAATATTCTGTTAGTAGTTTCGAAGAATCCACCTTGTATTTATTATTTTGAAGAACCTACAACTTTTTATACTTTTTATTATTAATACTGCACTATTTTAACATAGAATATCGATAAAAACTACTAGACAGTCGCACGTATAAGTTTTAGGTTATAATGAGATTGCCATTTGATTGTTAATTTCTCAGTATTCCACTTAGATGCGGCAAAACTAATAAACGCGAGCGTAGCCCTACCCCGGTCGAACCGACCCATTTGTCCTACAACTAATATAGAAGCAACGTGCCACATATACTTAATATGAATAACTTTTATCTATTTAAAAATCAGCCAATAAAGTTATAACTACTATACCTTTTTGAATTCAGTGTTTGAAGTGGTAATTAATTTATCTTATTAATTTTGGCTTACGTTATGCTAAGTGTTTTTACGTTTTCGGCTATCTCATCACTTACATCACCAGGTGCGGTAGTCGTCAAGAACTGGTTTACAAGGTTTGAAAAAATAAGCTGGTGTTGTTTAGAGCGTGGTCTTTTTCCGATTGATCCGTCTATTTTTACACAAGAGTTTTACTAAAAATTAAAATGGGAGTTTTGAGGGAAACTTGACCGCCGGCGGATTCCTGTGCCTGTATCATAGTTAAAAGAAGAGTTTGAAGCAGATTTTGATACGTATAAGTGGATCGGTTTTGTGTAATAAATGAACTTTTAGTGGGAACGATGAAAGTGTTAAAGTATTAAACTATTAAATTCAATTTATATGATATTATTATAACTTATTAATGATGCTTTAAAGTACCCAGATCATGTCACCAACCCCAATAATCAATATCCCACAATATATAACCCAATATTATGCTGCTGATTTAAACCCCAGTATTAATACTGTGTTGATGCTGACACATAAATTCTGGACTCTTAATATAGCTGCAGAGTAGCTGAACCACCAATACATTTCTTGTTATATTTAAACAGTTTTGTAACAATGAACTCACCAACAAACGGCGCTGAAGTTAGAATGCCCTTCTGTGCGACTGTCAGCTCGAGGTCACACGCGGCTGTCACCACCAAGCTGAAGCCGAACAGGTCCGCACCAATTGCCAGAAGGGACAGGGCACATGTCAACGCGAGCAGAACGTTATATATTCCATTACCTGAAAACAAAAGAATACCAAACTTTTTATAAAAAGGAAAACCCACCAAGTGCGATTAGATATTTTTATAGGATAAGAGTGGCAAACGAGCACACAGTCCACTTGATGGTAAGTGGTTGGTGTAGCCCATAGACATCTACGTATATCCTCGTCGACTAAGGTGAAATGTTCCCTTTCCAGTCTCCGGTTCTCTACACTCACCATAAGAAAGAGCAGCGTTAAGCTGCTATTTTACGCTCGCATTCAAGCGCAAGTGGTCCCTTCCCGTTTAAACCGATCAATTCGTGCTACCATCATACTCCTAATAAAGCTGCTGCATGGCTCTACCACCTAAAATAAAAATATGGTAACTTCAAATAATGATTTGGACTTACCATGTTTTTATTTTATTTATTTACTTATAACGTTAAAAGTAACATAAAAATAATAATAATGTCCTCCAGACCATATTTTGGTTACGGCGACCAGTGTTAACGGAGACTGGCCATCTGCGCAGGATAGGATTATAGTGTCCAAGTGTATGCGCAAGCACAGGTGCACTCTCAATCCCCTTACTCTCATAGCCCGATGGAACGGTAATACGACATGTTCGGAAAGAGATCAGATGCAGAAACTACGGTTTTCCTAGGTACGGGGGTGAAACTACAACTTCCGGACTCGGGCCTGCTATAAATGTTTGACAAAAAATGCAATAACTGATTTTGGCCCGACCTGGGAATCGATCCTAGGACCACATAATCAGCAACCGCATTATCAACCGGCATGCCAATAAGACAGCCACAGCATTAAAATACGGATGTTTCCAGGCTCATAACTTTTACCCGTATTTTTTATCAGTATGTTTTTCAATGTCCTGTTTGCTTTCTAGTCTAGATAACAACGAGGCAAGCCCATATCGTTCTTAATTTTTGACATACATCATTACGGGGTTCATTTCAAACGGGTGATTATCATCCTTAGGCTTGCCAACTATCCCGCAAGAACCCGGATGTCCAGTTTCTGGAGCCTTAGCAGATGCGTCCCGCGAAAGATGTTTTCTCGCAATTTTACCGCAAATCTGTCCAATAATCAACACGTTGCCAAGCTTAATCACCATTCTACGTCAGTATGATAAAAATCGGAGAGTAGTTGTGTCGTGGACATAGCTGTGTGTTTAACGTGAATACATGCAGCGAATCGATTGACTGACACTGAAATTGTATTTGTATTACAGAAGAGAGCCATGAGAATAATCTATGATTTCAAACCTTAAGAGTCGCCTAGATTAAAATTTAAGGAAATTAACATATTAACTTTAGCCTCTCAATACATTTATAAAAATGCAATGTACGTACATAAAAATAAAAGTAGCTTAAAAAATAAGTGACATTCATTTTGTAAAAACTAGGAACTGACACAAGCTAGTAGTACCAGTTACTCGACTCCACCGAGTCAGTCCATCAATTCTTGTGACGATATGCTTTCACAACAAAATCCCAGAAAATATACAAAATTTGACCTGCACAAAGTTCAAAAACCTTAAGTTTTTTTAGAAAGGGTTATTATAATATTATGGAATTTCTAGAGGAGGAACCCCTGGGAATGATGTGATTGCTACTAAGCGAATTCTAATTTGTTTTGTATTGTTAATTGTATAACCTTAATGATTGTAAGCTGTTATTTATTTTTGCAAAAAAGCCCCTCTGGGTTTCTCTTTGGTTCTTCCCTAGACAAAGTATTTTTCTCAAATCAGTCGTAAATTAAAGAAAAGATTGAATAAAAAAGTTTCTGTATCTGTTTAAAAAAATTTGCACATTCCATGTATCGCGTCGTTTCTACTGTTTAAGTTATTCTTTATATATTATATGTCACTACTAGTTCTAAACTTTGTTGTGAACCGTTTTCTTTTTCTTTCGTTTCGTCCATTTTGTGATAGCTGCACCATTTGTCATTGACCCCAGCATCAGAGCATATCCAATATATTGTTTTTTTTTTTCTAGAAATAAACTAGAACACTGCAGACATGCTTCTGAAAGAATCTTTAAAAAAATTACTTGAGAACTTCGGTATATGCAACATCGTTTAATGCAAATAGTAAGGTGTGGTTAACCGACACTGATTTATCTTCAAACTATGATATTCCTTAAAATAGGTTTCTTGAAACGCAAACGTATCCCACATGAATAGCATAGGTAATCGTTCTTTGTAACAAATATCTAAATTTATTATTCTATTGTTAGTCTCATTTCACTGTATCTTATATCGTGATCACTAAAAAATTACTTTGGTTCTTCTGCAGATATCTTCCTTACGAAGTCTGTTACGCAGAGATATTTTTAGAATAGCCCTCTACATGAGCAATGACGTGGACATAGCTGCGTGTTTAACGTGCAGCGAATCGATTGACTGACACTGAAATTGTATTTGTATTACAGAAGAGAGCCATGAGAATAATCTATGATTTCAAACCTTAAGAGTCGCCTAGATAAAAATTTAAGGAAATTAACATATTTACTTTAGCCTCTCAATACGTTTATAAAAATGCAATGTACGTACACAAAAATAAAAGTAGCTTAACAAAATAAGTGACATTCATTTTGTAAAAACTAGGAACTGACACAAGCTAGTAGTACCAGTTACTCGACTTCCACCGAGTCAGTCCATCAATTCTTGTGACGATATGCTTTCACAACAAAATCCCAGAAAATATACAAAATTTGACCTGCACAAAGTTCAAAAACCTTAAGTTTTTTTAGAAAGGGTTATTATAATATTACGGAATTTCTAGAGGAGGAACCCCTGGGAATGATGTGATTACTACTAAGCGATTTCTAATTTGTTTTGTATTGTTAATTGTATGACCTTAATGATTGTAAGCTGTTATTTATTTTTGCAAAAAAGCCCCTCTGGGTTTCTCTTTGGTTCTTCCCTAGACAAAGTATTTTTCTCAAATCAGTCTAATTAAGAAAAGATTGAATAAAAAAAGTTTCTGTATCTGTTTCAAAAAATTTGCACATTCCATGTATCGCGTCGTTTCTACTGTTTAAGTTATTTTTTATATATTATATGTCATTACTAGTTCTAAACTTTGTTGTGAACCGTTTTCTTTTTCATTCGTTTCGGCCATTTTGTGATAGCTGCACCATTTGTCATTGACCCCAGCATCAGAGCATGTCCAATATATTGTTTTTCTAGAAATAAACTAGAACACTGCAGACATGCTTCTGAAAGAATCTTTAAAAAAATCACTTGAGAACTTCGGTATACGCAACATCGTTTAATGCAAATAGTAAGGTGTAGTTAACCGACACTGGTTTATCTTCAAACTATGATATTCCTTAAAATAGGTTTCTTGAAACGCAAACGTATCCCACATGAATAGCATAGGTAATCGTTCTTTGTAACAAATATCTAAATTTATTATTCTATTGTTAGTCTCATTTCACCGTATCTTATACCGTGATCACTAAAAAATTACTTTGGTTCTTCTGCAGATATCTTCCTTACGAAGTCTGTTACGCAGAGATATTTTTAGAATAGCCCTCTACATTAGCAATGACCTTGAACTTCTTGTAATAATCATTGCGTGTAGAATATATAAATGTCTCTAACCGAATAATCACTGGGACATTGTGTTCAAAAACCGAACTTCGCTTGCTGTAGAAAAGACTACACGCGTCTCAAACTTAACCAGCTTGTGTGAATTTGATCAACTATTCAGTACAAAACAAATAAATTAATTTTAATTGGACAGTTTAAACAAAAGCGTTAATTGATCGGAGCAAGTGCTGCTACGAAATAAATTTTATTTATGTTACGTTTTAATGAATTCATGAGTTTTTAAGAATATGAGTGGGTCATCATTATTATTACAGTCCTTCAATATTCACTGTTGAACATAGATGATAACCAAATTCTTGTTGAATTTTGGGGTCGTTGCCACTTTTGGCAGGCGGGTTGGCGGCAGCCACAGTTTTTTTTTTAATTATTTTGGATTGTTATCAGGAAGATGCTTGGTAAACGAATTCTCAATTCATGGGAAAGTAAGTTACAATTCTAGATCGTCGTAACGTGGTAGAGCCACGCTGCAGCTATATATTATGGTTGTAGCGCGAAGGGGTTGGCTCGACCGGGGAAGGACCACGCTCTCACAGAATACCAACGTAGAATAGCAGCTTAATGCTGCTGTATTTCGTATAGTGTGTGTAAAGAACCGGAGACCCTTTTTACTGGAAGCGAGGTATTCCATCCTAGTCCTCAGGGGTGACAAAGCATCTGCGTCTTGATTCTTTATCGAGGATAAATGAGTATCTCAATGGGCCACAGCATCCACTTACCCTTCGGTGGACTATGTGCTCGTTTGTTACACTTAAGGGGATACCTTGAAAATAAATCGTAGTTTTCGGGGCGTGACTTATTCCTTTGTCGGTGAAGCTAACGGACAACTGAGGAAGTGTCAAAATGAAAGTGATGTAATGACTTCATAATACGTAAATTATGAGATAGCTAGGTATACCAAGCACAAGCTCGAAAAAAAAAACTAAGTAAGCGCCAAACAACATTTTTTATTTTTTAAAGAAAACTACATTATGGATTTAAAAAATGGCTTATGAGAACTTAGATATGATTATTTACTATGCCTTAAAATAATTCCATAAACTAATTCGTAAGATAATTGTGGTGTCATGAAGAAATGTAACTAATTCAAGTCTACTTTGGAATTTTATTTCTATCGAGAAAATATCGAATATAAAGTGTAATAATATAAGAATATCGTGCTTTCATTTTATGCAATCCAAGGTCATATAGTCAAAAATCATATACCAAATTGGGTTTGTAATCTATAACACTTAAAAGAATATGTGAAATAGAAAAACCAACAAATTTTCGAGGTATCACCTTAATCTATAAAAAAAGATCATTAACACATACATACAACTTACTACTTACTTTACGTACATAAAACATAGGAGGTTATAAAGACCTGCCCCTCTTTCAAACCGGAACAGCAACGGTTTTTTCATCATCATCATCGTTACATAGGCAAGGAATTTAACAAAGCACGGTCCTGAGCCACCAGCATCCATCAAACAATTGCTTAGTAACTCCGAAACCCTAACAGTCACATCATCAGATTGACAATACGCAATATATAAATAAATCTTCTATCGCGTCAAAGATACGAGACATCTGGTGCTGTGATAGTCTACCGCTTTCCAAGCGTGGTAATTTATAATTATGGCAAAACCTTCTTACTAGAGGCCTATTTCAAGCGATTAACTGTTTCGAAGTTGATGAGTAAGAAAAAAAAAACAAAAATCCAAAGTGTTTACCCAAACAAAGGGGTGCACATAGACCACCCAGCCAAGGGTGGTCTGTGGGGGTGCACTAGTTTTGGCGCGATGAATTGTTTATTGGACAAAATAAGGATCAGATAGTGTTCGCAACAATATTAGGAAAACACAAAATAAGGATCAGATAGTGTTCGCAACAATAAATATTCCAAAATTCGACCCATTGCCACTTCAGCTTACTGACCCGCAAATAAACAATAAAATTTAAAAACCCCCAAACAAAACGAGCTGATGATCTTCAAACGGCTGAACAGATCGTCTTTAAACACAGCTACAACACTCTCGGTGGCCCTAGTCGATGGCACGATCTAAGTGGTGGACGGGGTTAAAATGCATGCTATCTCAGCCGACATCACGTGCGAAAGCGAAAGGCATAATGATTTACAACAAAACAAGCGCGCGAAATTTTATAAACAGACCTTTGGGAATCTTGATATCATGAAAAAATTCAGAACTATAAAGTTACCCCATCCATTCACGTAACTTATAAAAAATACGTTGGTTTATCTGAGAACCAGATATAAGAACATTTTAAAATGAATAAAGCAAACTCTCAGCAACTGAAATATCACGTTCAAGTCTCACGAGTAAGTGCAAACCACTCCAATTACGAAAGTTCTGTAGAAAGTCAGAATAGAAGGAGATACCTACTTTAAGACAGACCTTGCTAACTTTCTTACAATCCCATAAGTTGTACTAAGTATTAAGTTGTACTAAGTATTAAGTTGTACTAAGTATGGGCATACTTTTGAAAAAGAATACTGACTATTACTAACGGTCATTGTACTTAACAAATTGTAAGTAACATTCCTCTTTTTTATTACGACACTCACTTTGTCTACCTTTGGCAACTTATTGGGCCGTAGTTTCTGGATACATACTAAGGCAACTCCTATCTACTTGAATTCAATTTTAGCGCAAAATGCAAACTGTTCATAAAAATTGAAAGTACCAACGATTACATAATAATAAGTAAGATAAAAAAATCATAAAAATGACATACGCTATTACTAATCGTGCATCTTGTGCATTCCATAACGAAACCACATTTTTACGTCATGTTGAGAACACTTTACGAATTACATCGGACAATTCAAGCAATTCTTCTTATGGTATTTATTTCCGCCCAAATATTTGTTAAAATTAGCAATTGTAAATATATTCTTTTTTTACTATTTTGTTTCCATACAGGGCTAGATAATGATGAGACAAATTGAATACATTTCTTATTTTGAACTTACACCATCAAACAGCGGAGTAATCGCCAGACTACGTTTGTATGGAAAAATGAGTGACTAGTGTTAAGACACCTTTCAAATCAAAAATCATTCGTCCGTTCAGGAGCTACGATGCCACAGACAGAAGCACAGATACACACTACAAAATCATCGAAAAAAAATTAAGTAATTGATATTGGACTTTTTAAGATAATAATTATTATATATTGCTGACGGGAATAGTGCACGCAATTGAGGGAGGGCGGAAGATGCTCTTCAAACTAGTCAAGACATCATTTTATTTATTTTTTAATTTTTTTAAGTTAAGTTCTACCAACTTTAATTTTACTTTTAATCGAAACAATAAACACTACAAAGCACTTTCACACAGTAGACGCAATCCACTGCATTATCAAACCGTACTCTCCTCTGAATCAAATTTACCAGTCTTCTCTAACGCCTCTTCGAAAGGTAGCAGCTGTTCTTCGATTCTGGTATCATCACGCACCATAGCGACAAATTCGCGTGACCGCGCGTTCAACGTACGCAATAATACTGAAATTACTGAATAACGCTGTGTGCAACAATTTCAAAGTCACGATGAGAAGAACGCACAGTGAACGAAAAAAGCGCAGCGGAAAGCTATTAATTGCTAGCGGCCCGCCCAGCTTCGCTATATAGCTGTACATACGCTTCCTCTATAAATTGCCTCATGGGGGGATATTTGTCATAGTTGCTTTGGAAGCGGGTTGGCAAAAGCAGTATTTTTTATTTTAGGCTTTAATAGAAACACACTGCTGCCCAATGCCCATCTCCTGATTTGTTTCTTTGTCTCACCCTTACGATACCCACGGGATGATATATGGTAGTGGATATTCTAAGCCGCCACTACACGGTTATTGTGGTTGCTGTGGTCCATAGACATCTACATCTATTCTCGATTACGAATCAAAATGCAGATGCGTTGTCATTCGTGTGGTCTTAGGTGGAATGCCTCGTTTCCAGTAAAACGGATCTACGGTTCTCTACACTCACCATACGAAACACAGCAGCATTAAGCTACTATTTGACACTGGTATTCTGCGGTGTGGTATAGAGCGTGGTCCTTCCCCGGTCGAGCCGACCCATTCGTGCTACAACTATACTACTAATATAACTGCAGCATGGCTCTACCACGTAAAAAATATCTATTTATATAGTGAATTGTGATATATAATAAATATGACATATATATATATATATATATATATATATATATATATATATGTATATATATATGATATATATATATATATATATATATACAGTGGATTTCATTTATTACGACCTTGGTTGTAGCGACCATTTACCAAAACCTCCCTTATTTAAAGCATACTTTAGTACAAAATTCATGTCTATAGCGACTTTGGATGTAACGCCGAGTTCGGGTGTAGCGACTGTTTTTAATTAATCATTTATAACCAATTCCTAGAAATCTCATGCAGATATTGCGACCGGAGTTGGCCGCTAAAGATAAAATTCTGATTTCTTTCTTTCACAAACATTTCACAAACATCAACTTATCTTTTGTTTACATATACACAGATGACCTTTTGTTTATAGATATTAGCTAAGTAGGTAGGGAAGCATGTACGTTTCGGAGTAAAATTTATGGTTCAGTTACAAAGTGATATTCTGAGTAGCATTTTGAAATATACCAGTAAAAAACTATGTGTGCAAATATTTTCAATAATAAATATATATAAACTATACATGTGTACGTGTCTGTATCTCTTTACCTTTACCTGTAACGACTTCCGAATATAACGACGAAAATGGTGGTTCCTTCATTGTCATTATACCCAAAACCCATTGTATATATATTAAAATGACACTATCTTAATAGTATCTATCAATTTATAAATTTCCAAGTACATATTTTTAAAGAATATTAACAATGCCATAAACATTACTAATATTCCCCTTAACCACTCGTGGTAAGTTTAAATTGCTTGTGTTACGAGTGCTTCACAGTAGACGACCGGTGGATTCGAACCCACGACCTTTTCGAGTTCGCGGTCCGCGCTCTGCCATTAAGCTACTGTCGCTTAATCTCTCTCTAGTCGGTCCCTCATGACTGAGGATCGTGATCACCATCACGGAGAGTAAATTTATTGTTTATAATCTCTCTCCACCGGGTCCTATCGCTGGCCATACGGAGAGCGTCGTAGAAATTTCGCGCACCGACTTCTTTGACTTGGTCGGACCACCGGGTTGGAAATCTACCTCTGGGCCTTCTTCCCTCTACGTTTCCAACAACTATCAATTTTTCGATACTTTCGTCCCCGCGGCGAGAGATATGACCAAAATAGCTGAGGATGCGCTGAAGACATGTGGTGGAAAGACGCGTCTTGATCTTGAGTTGCGATAGGATTGACACGTTTGTGCGCTTCGCAGTCCACGGTATTCGCAGCATTCGCCGCCAGCACCACATTTCGAACGCATCAATTCTCTCCCTTTCTCTGACGCGTATAGTCCATGTTTCCACTCCATAGAGAAAAATTGGGAATATAAGAGTATATACTAGGCGTAATTTAGTATTATTTGTTATGCTTCTGTTTCTCCAGATGTTTGTCAGCCTGGTCATCGCATCCTTAGCTATTGCTATTCTACGCTTAATTTCGGGAACGCAAGTACCCTCATTTGAGATCAGAGATCCCAGGTATATATAACTCTCCACAACGTCGATCCCTTGAATGCTGCAAGTGTTGGAAAGTTTGCTAGCCCGGTCTATAACCATGAGTTTCGTTTTATTCCTGTTGATTGACAGACCTAGCTCTTCGCTTTCTAATTCTAGCTTATGCAGCAGCTCCTCCATGTCCTCATAAGATGTTGCAAAAAGCACAGTGTCGTCCGCATATCGCAAGTTAGCCACCCTTTTACCCCCAATATGAAACCCTTTATCCCATCCTTCCATGGTTTTCCGCATGATGTACTCCCCATATATATTAAAGAGCAAAGGAGACAGTATACAACCTTGTCTCACGCCTTTCGTAGTCATAAACTCTTTGGAAAGACTGCCATCGAGTCTCACATAAGATCGGTTGTTATCATACAGGTTGGCAATTAGGCTGACTAGGTGTGTTGGTACTCCCATTTCGACCAATATTGACCATAGTTTATCCCAACGGACGCAGTCAAATGCCTTACTGTAATCGATGAAGCACAGTAACACTGGATTGGCAAACTCGCGACTCTTTTCAATAATCTGCCTGATATTTAAAATTTGTTCTCTTGTGCCCTTGCCCTTTACGAAGCCAGCTTGCTCGTTGGGAATCTGCCTGTTTAGGAAATTCTTAAGACGTTGATTTATTATATACAGCATGACTTTGCTGGCGTGCGAAATTAAGGAGATTGTCCTGTAGTTTGTACAATTACTTTTGGAACCTTTTTTATGCAAGGGCACAAAAACAGATTCAGTCCATTCTCTAGGCCATACGCCTGTATTCCAAATCGAGTTGCAGATGTTTACTATAATAATCCGGCCTATTGGACCCATGGATTTTAAAAGTTCCGCTGGAATGCTATCTTTACCAGGTGATTTGTTCGTTTTTAATGCCTTTATTGCTTGTTCTACTTCGGCGTCTAAAATACTAGGTTCTGGGTCATTCATAGTATTCCAATTATTGTTAACACGAGCAGGTGTGTCCTGTGTACAGTAAAGTTCGGCACAGTATTGTCTCCAGCGTTCCAACACTGTATCTAAGTCGCTAAGTAGGTTTCCGTTTTTGTCTTCTATGGCCCATGTTTGAACGATCTTGCTCTTGCTTAGTTCGCGCACCCTTTTAAAAAGTTCGTGGGTTTCCTTCTTTTCGGCGTGCCGTTCGAGTTCGCAGCAGATATTGTTGATGTAATCATTGGTGTCTTTTCGGCACCGCCTCTGTATCTCCTGACTCAATACTGCGTAGCGTTTATGATCTTCTTCTGAAACGAAACCCTTTTCCTTAAGCATGCGCCTTTCCAATATTATTTTAGATGTCTCCATCCTAAAATGACCTTTCATGGTTGCTGCTGCGTGAATTTTATTTTTATTCGCTTGCTCTATAATTGCATCTCTTAACTCTTCCCACGATACTTTGCAATCGTCTTGGTTGGTACTCTGTGCTGTCATCGCCGTAAGTGAGTTCTCCAACCCAGATCTAAAGTCGCTAATGTGAACCGTTTTATAAAATTCTGCATAGACTTCTGTTTGTTAAGTTTCTTTAGTCTAAGTTTAAATGTACACATGAGAAGCTGGTGGTCGCTTCCGCAGTCTGCTCCTGGGTAGGTCTTGGAGTTAAGTATAGAGGATCTCCATCGTGACTGAATCATAATGTACTCTATCTGGTTTCGAAAACGATCGCCGGGAGATATCCAGGTGTATAGTCGTCTAATATGCTGGCGAAAGCAGGTGTTCATCAGAGTGAGGTTTTCTTCGCTACAGAACTGTAACAATCTATCCCCTCTTTCGTTACGTTCTCCTATTCCAAATAGACCAACGTGCCGTCTTAAATGGTTATCATCTAATGTGACACCGACCTTTGCGTTGAGGTCACCTACAATCATAGTAATTTCTCGTTTTGGTATTGCTTTTATAGTTGCGGACAGATGACCATAGAAAGCCTCCATATCTTCTTCAGTACTTTGAGCTGTAGGGGCATAAACTTGGATGATGTTTAGTTTGCATGGTTTGGCGTTTAGCTTAAGAGTGAGTATTCTCTCGTTAATAGCTTTATATCCGAGAACGCATTTGTTAATTAGTGGTGGAACGATGAATGCGACTCCTCGGTTGCTTTCATTTTCAGGTCCAGAGAAGTATACTGTATTACCCAAGTCAGATGTAAAATAGCCAGAGCCTCTGCGGTGAGTTTCACTCAAATCAAGTATGTCAATTTTCTTTCTTTGCATTTCTGTTTCTATAATGCTTAGTTTCCCGTCTTGAATGAGGCCGCGAACGTTCCAAGTCCCGATGGAGTATATTTGCTTAGCTATGGGTGTTGAAGCTGTAGATGCACCAGAATAGTGAATTCCTTGCGGCGTCGCCTGGTGAGTCGCGATGGCAAGGCCGGTAGCACATTTCACACCACCTTGCCCGGAGAGGTGGCGCCGGGTGTTGGCCGGGTCGCATGACAAAACTTTACTCTTTTTCTGTGTGTCCATAGGTGATTTTCTTGGGAGATTAGTGCAGTGGTTTCCCATTGCCTTCTGCACCAGTCTTTTAGGGGGTATTTGGTCCCCAAGGCCTCTGAAGCCTCTTCCAGTTAGTTGCCAAACTGGGCGTATGGATATCCCGCCATTGTTCGGTCGCCATAGCCTCGTCAGTTTTCTAGCAGGGGGCACCACGACGTTTGGTCGTCGTCAGCTATTCGTATGAATCACTGGCGCGTGCAGGTGAGGTTGGCATTTGGGTCGGTTAAGATGTTGAAGACCGTTCTCCCATTACCCCTGTACCCATTGTCGCTTAATATTTCGGTTTAATATAGCCTAGAGCACTCCTCACATTGCTCTCTATCAGTTTGTCAAATCACAACACATCTTCTCATCAGATAAACCTCAAAACTAGATTGTACAACCAGTGCGTGTTGCCAGTGATGACTGGATCTGAGACGTGGTCCTTCACTGCTGGCCGTATGAGAACACTCAAGGTCGCTCAGTAAGCTATGCTCCGGGTTTCTCTGCGTGCGTCGTCGTTCGTCTGCGTTAAACTTAGAAATGAGTATACCCGCATCAAAACCAGAGTGACCGGCAGAAGAGCTCGAAGAACCGACAACCGATGAGGAAAAGAGCTTCTCGAGTGGCAGCCTCGTACTGGTAGGCATAGTGTAGAGCGATCCCCCACTAGATGGAGTGACGACCTGATAAGACATGCAGGAAGTCGATGGATGCAGGTGGCACAGGAACGTACTTTGTAGCATTCCTTGGGGAAGGCCTATGTTCACTAGTGGACTTGTGAAGAGCTGTAATGATGATGATGATGATGATGATGATGATGTTTGTCAAGTTCCATTACAATTAGTTCGGCCATTCCGAAACTTACTCCGGGCATACAGACAAATACTACAATTCTAGATTATTAAAGTATATATTATTACTATATAGTTCAATACTTAATAATTTACTTTATTAATGTTATTGTAAATGATAATTTACTACTTGCTTCTTATTTTATTGATTATTGTAAATGTTTTCACCTGAATCAGTTTTTCGAGTCATCCAGGGTTGACTGGTGCTATAAGAAGTTGAGTCCTGTCTCTTTATTTCTCTTTTTAAAAGGTGTATAATAAAGATTGAATAAATAGAAAATAAAAATAGATAAACGAACACAAAAAACTTTTTTGATATAAATGCAGCTACGATTATTTTTATTTTATTCTCCGTTGGCATTGCAATGCAAAAAAGTCTTTATTTATATAACCGTTGGTGTGTACGTTAATAAACGTGTAACTTCGGAACGACGTGACCGACGTGAGAGGGTTTTGGGGCAACGTATATGTCCATCGCGCTGCGCTGATGCGTGTTGGCGAAGTTTCTTCTCTTATCTTTATTAGGTATACTTAAACCTAATTACTAAGTAAAATGTTTATATTTACACTGCAAAAGGTCCCGAGATTCAGCGAAAGTCTCATCGCACCGCACAACGTCTGTCGAGCCAGCCACTTGGTGTATAATTAAACTACGCAAATGACTTGTTGATGAAACCATTAACCTGCATTTAAAATATTTTTTATTTGATAATTTTAAAACGTGTAGTGATTATTATCATTACGTACTAGTCATACATAACATTATGTAATTGTCGTATAAATAGGGATTCCCTTAAAAAGATTTTGCCGCGTTTGTTTGTACGAGTGTGCGTTGCTTGTTTACGAAAAAGCTTCTTGAAGCAACGCGACGCTCTCTACTCTGAAGCTGCCATAAATAACGATTCGTAAACATTGCAAACTTACCACACCTTACCATACAAACTAATATTTTGCAGTAACAATCAAGATGAAAAATCATTGCGTTGCAATCAAGCGGTTTTTGTGACTGATATATTTAGCAGTGGCATTTTGCCAAGGAGGAACGAATTGGCTAAAACGAGGCCAAAATGAAATTGACGAAAACACTTACGCACATAAAGGAATGACAATAGTTTTAAATGTTGTTAAAAATTTAAAAAACATCATTTCCACAGCACTGCTATTTTGCCGGGTGTCTTAGTCAAAATTTTCCGAGCAGTCATTAGACATAATATACATACATACATTATTTTAACACTGGCATAAAATAACAGATGACTTATCAAATAGGAAAAAAATAAAAAATAAGTTTTGGAACTTTAAATGAAATTAAAAAAGAAATAAAGCAAAACTGAAAGAAAAAACTCGATATGCAGATCGTCTAATTGGAAAATGCACTCGTCTTCTTTTATAGAACAAGGGTGACAAACGAGCACACAGCCCACCTGATGGTAAGTGGATGCTGCGGCCCGGTGCCCCGTAGACATCTACCTACATTTATTCTCAATCAAGAATCAAAATGCAAATGCGTGGCCAGTTCTAAAAACTTTCAGTATCATCCTCGTATGTAATCGAACCAAACGGTTTTCCTTATAATGCGGTACGCATACAGTAATTAAGCGAGTGAAATAATTTGCCATTCTGTCTTTCCGTCTGATTATAACGTGGGTGTCTTCAGAGCAAAAGTGTATATAAGTCCGTGCGCTTTACCACCTTCGTCTGCTCACCATTTACCATCAGGTGCGTTAGTAGTCAAGTATTTTATTTTTTTAAACGTTACCCCTTACACTAGGATTTTGTCCTTAATCTGGGGGCAGTTTACAAGCATAAATTGCACAAACATCCAGACCCGGAACAATTATTTGTAGGCCAATCAAATACATGTTACGTGCGGGAATCTAACCCGCGAACCCAATGCAACCAACATTTACTTTAATACTGCATTGCACTTTATTTTTGGTAGATTTTATCATTTTTATCGTGTTAAATATAATAAAAATTCAATAATCAGCCTAAAGAAATGGCAAGCAAATTTATATTACGATACAATACCTTATATGGTATATGTGACAAAATCTACCAAAGATACAAGTAGGCGAATCGCAGAATGCCAGCGTAAAATAGCATCATAATGGCTGCTGTGTTTTGTATAGTGAGTGTAGAGAAACGGAGAGCATTTTTGCTGGAAACAAGGCATTCCATCTTAGTCCTCAGGGGCGGAAACACATCTGTATTTTGACTCCTAAAAGAGGATAAATGTCATCTATGGCCACAGCATCCACTTAACATCAGGTAGACTGTGTGCCCGTTTGTCACCCTTATTCTATAAAAAATATGGTTTGCAAAGAAACAGAGACCAGCTGAGCGTCTGGTGGTTCGATTACGGAATGCACAAGAAGGAATTAGCTTTTTTTAATTTAGCATTCTGCGGAGGCTTAGAAATTTTCTTCCTACTCCCACTAAAGTTGCGCTTGCTTAATCCATACTTCTGCCTATTCATGACTGCTAATGTTTGCTATCTGAGCTTTACCGAAGCATAGTCAAATAAACTTGAGCGAATATAAATGTATGCTAAGGATTCATATTTGGACTCCGTAGATACGATCATATTTCAGAATTTCGTGAACGTATCAAGTGGCTGCCGATTTGCCTTCGCAGGAATACTCATATCGATCTGCTTTATACTGTACAGGTACTGTTCAAACCCTCCATTGCACGTTACCTGAAAGACCGCTTTGAGTTAATGTTCTCATCTCACAATCGTTACCTACGTTCCACTAACAATCTATGGCTTCGTATTCCAGCACTTTTATTCTTCTTCTTTTTCAACAAATCGTTCTCGGCTACAGCTGTACGCTTGTGGCACTCATTGCCTTTATATATTCGACGTGCTCAGTCCATGTTTTTTCTTTAAAAAATTCTGAAAGCTTTTTACCTGTAGCTCTAATATTTCCCATCATGATTCCCGCCCTTAATAGTATCTGTCCTACTATCCTCAACTGTCATCATCTTGTGTTTTTATATATGTTTTTATCATTATCATCCTTTCGTGGGGTAGATAACCCACAAATTGCCACAAAACACAGCTCTTGGGCTATCTGAATCCACTCAGTTATTTAGGTTCTACTTATAGCAACAAGTCGGCAATAGTGGTCTACCGTCTATCCTTCACCGCGCTTGCAGGTAGGTACGAGACTGCTAGTCGTGAACCTTTCTTCCCCATCAAGTGAATATCCACCGGAATAGGGGGGAAAACTCCTCTTCTCTCTCTCTAATCGCAACGTTTCGTACCTACGGAGTTTGACAATCACGTAACATAATATATCATTCGACCATTCATCAAAATACGATTAAACTAATCGTATTTTGATGAATGATCGAATGGATTCGTAACCAACTATACACAACATGATGCTTTTTTAAGGTGGTATGTTGTGAGAGCGTGATACATCCCCGGTGGAGTCGATTTATTCTTGCAGCAGTGATAATAGACTCTGTGACATTGATTATAACAAAAAGGTAAGGTGCGATATTTAGCAGCAAAAAGTGGACACATTATCATCATTACAGCCCTTCACAAGTCCACTGCAGAACATAGGCCTCCCCCAAGGTATGCCACAAAGCACGGTCCTGAGCCACCTGCATCCATCGACTTCCTGCATGTCTTATCAGGTCGCCACTCCATCTTGTGGGGGGTCGCCCTACACTTCGTCTACCGGTACGAGGCTGCCATTCGAGAACCTTTTTTCCCCAACGGTTGTCGGTTCTTCGGGCTATATGGCCAGCCCATTGCCACTTCGGCTTACTAATCCGTTGGGTTATGTCGGTCACTCTGGTTCTACTGCGGATATCCTCATTTCTAAGTTTATCACGCAGAGAAACTCCGAGCATAACCCTCTCTATAGCTCGCTGAGCGAGTTTGAGCGTCCTCATACGGTCAGCAGTGAAGGATTACGTCTCGGTTCCGTTTGGTTTTCAGGTTTTGAGTTATACCTGACGAGAAGATGTGTCGTAATTTCTCGAACGCTGCCCAGCCGAGTTGAATCCGTCGCCCATGAATAACTGCAAAATCAGAAGAATGGAAAATGCACCTGGCGTTGCCAGCCTTTTAAAAAATAGTAAGTTCTTTTCTCAAAGGTACTCTGATTCGTATAGATC